AGGGTTGGGGCTCAGCCGCAGGGGTTGGGGGGCCAGGAGGGAAGTCGCAGCCTACGCTCAGCTGCCTCCTATGGGGCAATTAGGGAAGGATGGTATCTACTCTCTGTCTTGGGGAGTCTCCCTTTCCCGCAAGGCTAGGCAGGGAGGGAGGCCGGTCGCCCCTATCCTCACAGAGCGACCTCCCCACCACCCACCCAAACCCCGGCAAATTGTGGATTAGAGAGAGAAACCCGATCCTGGGGTGTCTGGGTTCCCATTTTACCGTCTCTGAGACCCCCGCGATTCGTAACACCACCAACCAACACATCCCAGCTTCCTTCACGGCCCCGCCCAAGTTTAGGAAAAAGGAAACGTTTGGGTGGGGAAGATCTACAGGCGCCTCGCTTAGCGGGGAGTTTGAAGGTTATAAAGGATCTGTCCCTACACCATCCCCCACCCCTACCCCCACCCCAAGACTTCTGCCCACTACTGGATGTGGGGAGGGTCCCTGTCACTTACCTTATGTCTCGCTCTTACTGATACCCGAATTTTCTAATTCTAGTGATAGTGGGCAGTAGAAACCTCTTGTCAATTGAAACCCTAATTTTGGTAGGAAGGGGGTTATTGAGGAGGAAAGAATAGTATTGTATGTCCTCCCTCCAGGGCATCAAGATGGAGCAAGTTAGGGGCAGGGACACAGGAGAGTAGGTATGGAGGGACGGAGGCAAAGTCCAAGAGGCTTGTCCATAGGGAGGTGGGGTCCTCCTTGGGCAGAGGAAGGAACTGGACCCAGCGAGGCCAGCCCTGGGCAGCCGGCAGGAGCCTCCTGCTGCTCTTCCTGAGCATAGATAGCCCACTGCAGCCCACCCCTCCCCCATTCACTCACCCAGCAAGTATGGACTGACACCTGCTAGTGCCAAGCTCCATGCTGGCTCCCAGGAATATGATGGAGGATATATAGAGAAGTTCCCATCTAGTCTGGGAGCTGGATTTATAAGCTGCTTTTACAAGAGAGTTTTTTAAAAAAATTGAATAGACATTTACTGACCATCCATTATGTGTTGGGGACAAGAAACAAACAAACATGAATTAGACAGTGTGTACCCAGGGCAGTGGGACCCAGAGGAAGGCAGTTAACTGTGTGTGTTTGTGTATATTGGGGCAGTGGAGAGAACATCAGGGTGGCTTCAGAGATGGGGGTGGGGTGGGGGGGATATTAGAGCTATATGATGGAGGATATATAGAGAAGTTCCCATCTAGTCCGGGAGCTGGATTTGTAAGCTGCTTTTACAAGGGAGTTTTTAAAAAACTGAATAGACATTTACTGACCATCCATTATGGGTTGGGGACAAGAAACAAACATGAATTAGACAGTGTGTACCCAGAGAAAGGCAGTTAACTGTGTGTGTTTGTGTATGTTGGGGCAGTGGGGAGAACATCAGGGTGGCTTCAGAGACGGGGCGGGGGGGGGGATATTAGAGCTGAGTTTTATTTTTTTAAAATATATTTTATTGATTTTTTACAGAGAGAAAGGGAGAGGGATTGAGAGATAGAAACATCGATGAGAGAGAAACATCGATCAGCTGCCTCCTGCACACCTCCTACTGGGAATGTGCCCACAACCAAGGTACATGCCCTTGACCGGAATTGAACCTCATGCCCTTGACCAGAATCGAACCTGGGACCTTTCAGTCCGCAGGCCGACGCACTATCCACTGAGCCAAACTGGTTAGGGCAGAGCTGAGTTTTGAAGTATAAAAAGGAATTTGTGGGTGGAGAAGGAAGGACCTTAGAGGGGAGGGGAGAGGAAAGGTACTATAGGCCAAGGGGATTGCGGGAGGAGCCAAACTGGTTAGGGCAGAGCTGAGTTTTGAAGTATTAAAAGGAATTTGTGGGTGGAGAAGGAGGGACCTTAGAGGGGAGGGGAGTGGAAGGGTACTGTAGGCCAAGGGGATTGCGGGATGTGTTGGGGACAAGAAACAAACAAACATGAATTAGACAGTGTGTACCCAGGGCAGTGGGACCCAGAGGAAGGCAGTTAACTGTGTGTGTTTGTGTATATTGGGGCAGTGGAGAGAACATCAGGGTGGCTTCAGAGATGGGGGTGGGGTGGGGGGGATATTAGAGCTGAGTTTTGTTTTTTTAAAATATATTTTATTGATTTTTTACAGAGAGAAAGGGAGAGGGATTGAGAGTTAGAAACATCAATGAGAGAGAAACATCGATCAGCTGCCTCCTGCACACCTCCTACTGGGGATGTGCCCACAACCAAGGTACATGCCCTTGACCAGAATCGAACCTGGGACCTTTCAGTCCGCAGGCCGACGCACTATCCACTGAGCCAAACTGGTTAGGGCAGAGCTGAGTTTTGAAGTATTAAAAGGAATTTGTGGGTGGAGAAGGAGGGACCTTAGAGGGGAGGGGAGTGGAAGGGTACTGTAGGCCAAGGGGATTGCGGGAGGAGGAACTGGACCCAGCGGGGCCAGCCCTGGGCAGCCGGCAGGAGAGTAATGGGGCATTTCTGAGATCTCTGAGCAGTTTGGTGTGGCAGGAGGGGCAGAGTGTCAGGAGGCAAGTCTGGGGGGATGAGCAGGAGCCAGATGAAGCACAGCCTTGTAGGCCATGCAGAGGTTTAGCAGGAGTTTAGGGAGCTGTGATGAATCAAATTTACATTTGTAACTGGAGGCAGAGAGATCAGAGAAAAGGCTGTGGCAGTCAGTAGTCCAGGTAAGAAATGGCCTAAACCAAGTGAAAGTGAGGAGAGATGCATGTACATACACACACAGAGGGTTTGGTGTTTTTCTCAGAATTTCTTGGCCAATGAGATGGGGAAGGAAGCAGAGTGAGGGGTCCAGGATGCTCTCAAGTGTCTGACTAGAGTGCCGGATGGAGAGTGGGGCCAGTTTGCCGAGGTCACTGAAGAGGAAGAGCTGTTTGGACACGTAGAATTTGAGGAGCCTGTGGTTGGTTGCAGGGTTGGAAAGCAGTTGGATCTGAGCTGGAGAGAAATCTGAGTCACCAACACATGATGCTCCTTGAAGCTACAGCAGAAGATGAGGTCATCTGGGGAGAAGTGCATAGAATGAGAAGACACCCTGCCTCAGAGGGCTGAGGGTAAAGCTGTGCAGGAGACTGAGAAGCGGCAGACAGAAAGGGAGGAGGAAAGCCAGGAAGGGAGGTGTTACCAGAGTACAGGGAAAGGGACTGGAGAAGGAGCAGCCAGGCTCGCTTGCTGATTGCCTCCACTCTGTCAGGACACCCACCCTGTCCTGCTCTGACTCATTCTTTTGCTTCCCCTCTACAGACCAGATGTTCGCCATCCAGCCAGGGGTAGCTGAGGGGGGCCAGTTGCTGGGGGGCCCACCTCCTGGAGTATGTCAGCCTGAGTTTCATCCAGACAGCAACTCCAACTTCATGGCGAGTGCCAAGGACGCCAATGAGAATTGGCATGGGATGCCAGACCAAGTGGAGCCCATCCTGATGAGGAGCTCCTCCGAGTTGCCCTCTGACAACCAGGCCTTCCAGGACCCTGGACTCCCTGAGGGGGAGCTCCGCAGCCCACCAGAGGGAGCAGAGATCCCCAGAGCTGAGCCTGAGAAGATAAGTGGTACCGGCACAATCTGCTCCCCTCTGGAGGACAATGGCTATGCCAGCAGCTCCCTAAGCATCGACAGCCTTAGTAGCAGCCCTGAGCCTTCCTGTGGGACTCCTCACGGCCCTGGGCCTTCAGATCCCCTTCTGCCCTCGGTGGCCCAGGCTGTGCAGAAGCTGCAGGCTCAAGAGCGCTACAAAGAGCAGGAGAAGGAGAAGCACCACATGCACTTGGTGATGTACCGCCGCCTGGCCCTGCTCCAGTGGATCCGAGGCCTGCAGCATCAGTTGGTTGACCAGCAGGCCCGCCTTCAGGAGAGCTTCGACACCATCCTAGACAACCGAAAGGAGCTTATCCGCTGTCTCCAACATAAGGCAGCACCGTCCAGGCCCTAGGACCAGGATTAAGAGTGTGCCTCTCTGGGTATATGTATATATTTGCAGGCATGTGCGAGATTGTGTACAAGTGTATGATTAGCTGGTATGAGTGCAGGTAAGCATAAGTGAGTATGTATGTGCTAACATGTGCCAGGCATCAGCTTATGTGTGCTGTATATATACACAGCCTAAATTATGTGCAGGCCTGTGTGAGTGTGTCCATCTATGTATGTATGGTATGTATGTAAGAGAGTAATAACGTTTTGGTTAGTTTACTTTATTGTAAGAATACAGTGTATAACTCATATAACATACAAAATAGGTGTTAATCGACTATTTATGTTATCCATAAGGCTTCCGGTCAGCAGCAGACTATTAGTAGTTAAGTTTTTGGAGAGTCAAAAGTTCTACATGGATTTTCGACTGTTTCAGAGATCGACACTCCTAAAACCTTCGTTGCTCATGGGTCAACTGTACATACAAAAGAAGTGTGTGCCAATGAGTAGGTTTGAATGTTGAGGCTTGTGGTGGGTGTATATGAGTGAGCTCTTGTCTGTGTAGGCCTATAAATAGGGGTGCATGTGTGCTGGTGAGGCCTGGGAAGTGTATATTAGGAACATGTATTTGCAGGCAGACTCCTGAGCAAGGGTGTGCAAATATATATTCAATTGCACATGTGGGGCATCCATCCACACCCTATGTTATCCATGACCTGCTGTAGCTTTTTTTCTTCACAGGGCCCCACTGCTCCCTGGAAAGAGGGTCTCTTGGGGTTTCCCAGGCCACCCCTCCTTCACCTTCCCCTCACTCTTCCTAAATTTTGCTCTGCTAAGGCTGTTGTCCCTGACCATGGATTTGCTGTAGATGGTAGCCGCTTTGGCCTGTCAAGGCTTTTTGGCTGCAATTTTGCCAGAGCAGTTGGTAGAGAATTAATATCAGGCAGGGGAGCTGGGGGTGGTGATTGACACCATGGCAGGAATGGGGGTGGCATCAGAGAAGAAGATAGGGACTGTCTCTCTTGAACTCTGCCTCCCAGCATGTGGGAGATGGGGATGTGGAGATGATCATGGTAGAACCCTGTGAAAAATAGGAGTTGGGGAATTCTTAAATGCCAGTTCCAAACAAACCACAAACCAGCTCCTCTCCACTGCAAAGGAGCTGTTACAGACCGTACTGATTTAAGCTTCTGATGAAAAGAAATGTGTGCTAATAAGCTTGCAAGGAATGGACAAGGTGTTCCCAGGCTGTTGGGTAAAATCCCGCTTCTGTCTCTGTGCCTCTACTTGCTGTGCCTCTCTGGATTTAGCAGCACTGGATGTTGAATTAGTTTGGTTCTTTTCCCTGAAATCAGACTGCCTGTGCCAGGAGGAGCCACAGTTCTTTCAAGAGTGGGCAGGGGGCAGGGTCAGCCCTACCCCTGTAACCTCTTAGGATGCTGAATCATACCCCCTTTCATCACTGAATGGCCCCCTAAATGGGAGTTGACAGGCTCCAGCAGAAGCTCTGTGAGGTGGAGAGCTGGTGAATTCTGGAGAGAGCCAAAGACTAAGGTAGCCAAGCTCTCGGTTTTGCTTCTGGGAGCCAAGAGGTTGCAAGATCCTAATGGGTGAGCAGTGGCATGGAGGTCACTGATCCTACCTCTGGCTCTCAGTCTTCCTATCTGTAAAATGTGGGGCTCTTTCTATCTCTAGGTGGGTGGGTGGGTGAAAGCAATGGGAAGTGAGGCTGAGACAGTGACCCTGGGGACTTGTGTCTAGCTCTTGCATGTTGAGTCTGAACCAAGATGAATAAACTGGAGCAGAGAAATGCATTTCTTGAGTTTGTGTTTCTATTCTATTCTTGAGTTTGTGTCGTCTGGTGGCCTCTTTTTCACATCATCTGAGCCCCTTTGTGAGCAGGGTTCTGAGCTGGGGGGTAAGGATGGGGGAAGACATGGGAGGAGGAATCCAGCCTGCGACAGTTGACAGTCTGATGGTGAGACAGAGCGGTCTCTCCTAAGGGGTTTCTCAGATTGACAGAGGGGACTTGGCCTATTTGGGTTGTCCTTGTCCTAAAGCACCTTTGGGCCTGAAAATGGGGGTGTTGATTGTGAAAGACACCCCCACACAAAACACACAAACACTCATATTCTCAACCCTGCTCTAGAGCCACTGCTTCCCTGAAAGGCAGCCTGACTGCAAAAGACTGAGGGTCCTTAGATGGTTCTGACACAGATGTGGTTACAATACATGTGCATGACTTCAGATATTTGTTGATGCCAATCATATTAGATCTTCTATTTTATATTAACTTGTATGATGATTTATTGATGTCTCAAAAATCCATTACTTTTATAAAGAAAGTATATTAATTACCTATTGCTGCATAACAAATTACCCTAAAACTTAGTGGCTTAAAGCAATACACATTTGTCATCTCACCACTTCTGTAGGTCAGGAATCTCTCTCAAGGCTGCAGTCAAGGCCGAGTCAGTCCAGGGTGCATGGAGCATTCAGTTCTTCAAGGACTGTTGGCTGAAGGTCACCTTCAGTTCCTTGCCGTGTGGGCCCTTCTAACATGGCAGCTTAATTCATCAAAGCATGGAAGTTACTAGTAAGAAAGTCAGAGTACTAGCAAGACAGCAGTCAGTTTTCTGCAACCGAATCATAGAAATTCATCCCCTCCATGTTGCCATATCCTGTTGGTTAGAGGTAAGTTTCTCAAAGGGAGGATATTACACAATGGTCTAAGAACCAGGAAGGGGGAGAATCAGAAGGCATCTTAGAGGATGCCTACCATAGAAGGCATATTTTATTGATTAAATCAATCAAATACTGTATTGATTATTTTTAAATTACAAAATAAAAATTATATTCTACTTACAATAATTGAAACATTTTATTTTTTAATGTTTTTTAATATATTTCTTTATTGATTTCAGAGAGGAAGGGAGAAGGAGAGATGGAAACATCAATGATGAGAGAGAATCATTGATTGGCTGCCTCCTGCACGCCCCCTACTGGGGACCAAGCCCACAACCTAGGCATGTGCCCTTGGCCGGAATCGAACGCGGGACCCCCCAGTCCACAGGCTGACGCTCTACTGAGCCAAGTCGGCTAGGGCAATAATTGAAACATTTTAGAGAAAGGTATATATATTTTAAATCCCAGAAAGTATACTTCTCAGAAATAGTGACCCAAGATATTAATAATTCTTATTATCTCTACATTTGATATTTATACAGAAACAGTATTGAACCAGTTTTGACAAATTCCACTTATTAAGAGATCTTGTTCTAGCAAAGAGCTATACCAAAATTGGATAACTTTAACCATGGAGATTTCTAACAATGAGACATGAAGCCCTCAGAGCACAAGAGGGGGGATTTTCAGGAAGGACCCCTTTCCCAAACCTGTGAAGCCTCTTCTGAGCACAACCAATGGTGAAGAGCACAGACTGTGAGGCCAGACCCCTGGTTTTGGAAGTTAGCACCATTGTTCTCTGTCTCTATGACCTTGGGCAAGTCAATTAACTTCTCTGTACTGTATCTCAATTTCCTCATTTTAAAATGAAAATATAGGGTTGTAACTACCTCATAGGGTTGTCTCAAGGATTAAATTAATATATAATATGCAAAAATACTGATAGCTGTACACGGCACATAGTAAACTACCTTAATGAGAGTCATGAATATACTGTAATTATAAATAATGCTTTTGGGATGCATATTTCACTTTTCCACAGGAAAAAAAAATCAAAATTTTCCTTAAGAAATTTGAATCTAAAATGAAAGGCATCTTTTAAAAAAACTTTTAAAAAATAAAGCTGCCTATTATTCCTTTCCATAAAAGAGCTTTCTGAGCTGAGAAAAAGATGAAGGCCAGACCAAGGAACCAGTGTGGTGAATTGTAGGTATATAGGACCCCTGCCGATCATCAAGAGTCTAAGGACAGGCCCAGCCCCTGGTGTAATGGTGGGTGAGGGGAGGAGCTGAACAAGAGCAGGGAGTGAGAGCCACAGCCAGGTCAGCAGAGACCCCAGTGGATGAACCAACCCAGCCAAGAATTGTTGTTTCCCATCAGGTACGCTGGCCATTGGGCCTGCTTGTGGGAAGGGCCGAGGTACTGCTATGCTTTTTGTCACGGGCAGACCTGGTCCAGGACTCTATAGACTGCCTCCACCTGTGGCAATTGTATGGCTTGAATGAGGAAATGGACCTGAAAATGCTTTGTATGCATTAAAACCGATTGAGCACCTCCATACAAAGTCCTGCAGAGCCCACTCCTGCCCTTGAGCAGGTCTTGCCTGCACTGATAGATGAGACTTTCATCCAAAACATTAGTGCACAGGCCATTCTGAGCTCCGAAGAGGGGAGGCTGGTAAGCTGCTCCTAGCCCTCTGTGCAGATCTCTGAGACTTGATATATTTAGGAGTTTATTTTAAAGGCATTGGGTGGGGATTTCTTAGTCCCCCTGACAGGGAGCGGGAGTAGGGAAGATTTATTTAGGAGGAGGGGTTAGCCAGGTAGCCACCTTTTCCTTCCCACCAGAATGAAATCTCATGACCAGAAGCAGGGAAGTCTAACTCAGGGTTCTAGTGCTACCCGAGGAGTCTCATTTAGTAGGAGGAATGAGGGAGGAGATTGAAGCTGAGACCTAGAGACCCACAGGGACAGGGCACACAGCAGGGGCCTGAACACCCCCCAGGGACAGGACCACGGGGAAGGGACTGGCGGGGAAGCTGTGCAGGGCTGGATCCTCTTGAGAGAGAAGGGGCTGGGTCCATGGGAAACTCTCTTCGGGGACTCCAAATAGTTCAGTCCCATCAAGCATGGTCAGAGCCTGGGGTGCAGGGAGTGAACTGGCAACTGGAGGAGGAAGTAAAGAGGGGGATAAGGAAGCCTCAGACTGTGGTGGGTGGGCTCCCCTGGAATATCAGCATTCTGTGTAGATTGAATGATTCCTGGTGGCAGCCCATGACTTGTCTTCCAGCCTGTTTCCTACAAGCTTCATCCACAATCTAGTGTTAGTGTCTCCGAACCACAGCAGGAACAGGTGACAGGAACAGGAAAGCGAGATCGCCTGATCAAGGAAGGCTTCTTGGAGGAAGAGGAGCCTGGGCTAGGTCCCCGAGGGCCTGCATCCCCCACCTACCCAGAGGAGCCTGGAGAATGGGTAGAAGTTGAGGCATCAGAGAACACAGTGGTTTCTAGTGCCGACTGAAGCCAGAAGTCGTGGATCCTCCATTTAGTAGTAGCTGTGCCTCATTTTCTCAACTGTGAAATGGGTTATGCGAAAGCTTACAGGTGTAAAGGGCTCAGACCTGAGCCTGGCACAGAGGAAATAGTCCATACATGTTATTATTTGATTAAGCGAGGAGTGGGAGGTCATCAGAGGTAGGAGATGCCCCTGGCAATTGTGCTATATATTAAAAAGTGTTGCTAAAGCACCTAGAGTCCCAGACCCATGAGTTTAATGGGTGCTGGTGGTGAGAAGAGGAGCATAACATGGGGATGCTCTGGGGGCTGAACCAGGCCTCAAAGCCACACCCACCAGGCACCCACAAACACAAGGCCACTGGACACCACTCCTACGCACGCGTGCACACGCATGCACAAGCTCTCACACTCACAGATGCACACTCCCGGACACAGACCTGCATGCCTGCTCCCTGCTCTCCCCGACCCCTCTCAGAAATAAGACTGCACCAGCCTGGGGCGGTTTTCACACCCGGCAAACCCGAGACTCTCCCAGCCCGCGCATGGCACAGCCATCAGTGTGTCTGCTTCTCCTCTCCAGGCCTGAAGGCTGCTCCAGTCAAACGTGATCCTCGCCCCGCTCCTCCCCTCAGGCCCCTCCGCTCAGAGCTCAGAACCGGTGGATCCTCTGGTCGCTCCACTCATTTATCACCAGTAGGTTCCAGGAGAGAGGTGTCTGGTTGTGGGACTGGCGGGAGCGGGGAGGGAGGGGGCACGGGGTCAGGGCCGGGAGGGGCTAGGTCCCCGAGGGCTGCATCCCCCACCCACCCGGCGAGAAAGAGGTCTCGCGCCATGAGAGGGGGGCAGTCCGAGAGGCTCGGGCTGGGGCCGTGACCTTGCCCCGTAAGGGAGTGCAAGGCAGAGCTCCCGTGCTCCGCGCCGGGGAAGGAGAGGGCTGGAGGCGGGCGTTCAGCTGGTGTTCTTCGGCGTCCGGGAGGGGCTCATCCCCCTCCCCCCAAAGGCGCAGACAAAGGGGCGGT